GGTTGCTGTAGGAGAATAGCTGGTGCTGAAACCTGTCAGCACTTCTCGCTCCCTCATTCAAAGTTTATCACACACACTGTGGAGTGCCTAGCCTCTGCTTTGACCCCATCAGGAGAGAAGGTCCATTGCATCCCTGAATTAATCATTTCATATAGCTGAGCCCATTTTCTCATTTGTAAAACAAAATGTTTGGATTAGATTATTTTGCTTTTCTCGAAGTGTTTCTATTTTGACTGGTATCACTTAACGACAATATGGAGAGGAGGTTGAGTGTAAGCACTCCTATTTGAACTCGACTCTACATTTTAATCAGAGATGGGGGACACAGCCCAGGCTTTCTGTTGGAATACAGATAGCTGTTATGAGTTTGTTTGAATCTATTCTTTCAATAAAACAATAGGTCTTGAGAGTTTGTCATTGTAAGTCATTTTGCTATCTGAAGACATTACATAAAAGAGTCTGCTCTCCTGAAGGAACACCTAGTCTAAAAGTAAATTTTATAAGTAAATTGAAGTGTGATAAGAGGATAAAATTAATATTATTAGCAAAAAGGACAAAGCAAACATAAATGGAAGTTACGCTACAAGGAAGGTATGTCACTTGAATGTTGTTTGTTAAGGAATGTTAATAATAATATACATGCTTGATATTTGAACATTAGGGATAATTCAGTGAAGGCAGAAAGTTGCTAAATTTTATTCTAAAATCAGAATGACTTCAAATAGTATTGCAATTAATGTTCACTCTTTCTGATGCTCCAATTAATTGATTTAAAAGATTCCCACTGTTTCTCTTATTCTACTAATAGGAACAAACTAACACTGATAAATGGACTTTATGCAAACAAGCAACTTTAAATCACTATAATGGTTGTGCTTATTACGGAAAAGTCAAAGGGCAGGAGGCTCAGAACAGGACAATGTCAGTGGTGTCTCCTTGCTCTCCAGGTACAATATTGCAAGAGTGCTGGGTTTGGGTCACTCACACAGAAAGTTGTCAGGCTGTTTCCTGTGGTATGGTGAATTGCACCATTAATCACATGTTTAAGCATATTTTCATCAAATGTGTCTTTTTCTTGCTTTTATTTATTCAGCAATACTGAGAAGTAGTCACTTAAAAAAAAAAAAAAAAGGTGTAGCCCAGGCATGGTGGCTCACACCTAATCCCAGCACTTTAGGAGGCCAAGAGTGGTGGATCATGAGGTCAAGAGATTGAGACCATCCTGGCCAACATGGTGAAACCTTGTCTCTACTAAAAATACAAAAAATTAGCCGGGCATGGTGGTGCGTGCCTGTAGTCCCAGCTACTCGGGAGGCTGAGGCAGGAGAATTGCTTGTAATTGGGAAAAAGGAAGTTACAGTGAATGGGATAAACCAAACAAAAAAAATTTTTAATAGAAATTATTTAACCGTATCATGAATGGACATCCAGGTAAAATACCTAGTTTATTTGATCTCAGATGGAAGTATATCAGTTTATTGTGGTAATGTTCAGTGATAAGAAATATGAGGGGTTATTAGTAAAATCAGGGGAATTAATGGGATATCTTTGGAGAGCCAAACACTGTGCTATACTCAGATAAAGTGTTAAGGGTTCTTTCAGGAAAATAACTGTGGACCGTTGCCAAAAGTATGTTCATTGGCACAGCTTGTGTGTTGCTTCAAGGGACACTGCTTGTGAAAAACAAGAGACACCAAAGGCAAATGGTTAGAAAGTAAACCCTCCACTTCCGTAGAATACAATTCCCATTCTTCATTCCTTTGTGAAAGTTTGCCGCATGATTCTGACTCCAATATCCAAGAGGCTAGGCTGCTGGGCTGCTATGGGGAGCAGGTCCCAAGGTTAGGACTTCTGGGGTGACTGGAGTTGGCAGGAATGTCTCCGGAATGCTTGTGACACCTGAAGCTGACTTTACGTCTTCCCATTTAGACCAGTTGTTTGATCCCATGTGGAAGGCTTTCTTTATTCTTTTCGATTTAAAAAAGTTCTGTACCTTCCTAATGGATCCCGGTGTGTTATATAAGGATCTAGGGAGACTTTGTAGGAAAGATCCTGTGCCAGTCCTCCAAGGCAGAAGAAACTATGTTCACATGAAATTCTGATGCACACCCACATACATACACACATGCACATGCACTCATATGCCCTCCTGGTGAACGCTCCTTGCAAATGCCCGAGCACTTGCTGGTCCTTACTGACCTGTTGGACAATGTTTACTGAATACTCTATCAGGGACAAAAAGTATTGATGACATCACTAAGAGACTGAAAGTAAGTCTCTTATAATTACTTCAAAAGAATCAGGCTACAGTAACCATAAAGCCATTTATTAACATAGCGAGATTGAGAATACATTTTTAATTCCAATTGTAATGATATTTTGTCTAGAGGACATTGATTCTGTTTCACCGTGCTGCTTCTGTAAATGGAAGGAAAACAAAATCATGATTCAAATTACTAATATGATGAAAAATCATTTGTATTTCTGTTTACTACTTAGACTGACACCTGGTGCATAAGATAACCACATATTATTTAGAAGGGTTCTGCCCAGAGGGGGAGGGCGAAATCCTCATTAACCATCTGTCAAGCGTTTAAATTATAAAGTTGTGGGGGGCACAATTTAATTTTACTAATAATGCAGGACCTACTTTAGCTAAGATAAGTAACAAATTTTTTTAACATGGAAAAGAGCTGTGAATTTGTTACCGAAAGGCTTTTTGAAAGGCTTATAGTTATAGGTAGTTCAAAAATGTTGACAAGGGAGGTTGGCATAACTGAACATTTGAGACCTGTCAAAGTTAACAGATTCAGAGCATGACATGCTGGGACTAAAAGGAGGTGAAATGTCTTCAATGAATGTGTTATCTTTTTTTTTCTCTGTATCAGTTGACTGGGCTTTTCACAGGGTGAAAATAAGTATGCTGTGTGTAGCCTGTCACAGTCTGATGCCTCACATTGAATGTGATTTGGGTATTATATTTGAAACTTTCCCAACAACTCCTTTTATTCTTTATCCTAAGTGTGCTGGATATTGACAGCAGGCCTTAGAGACCCAACCTGAGCTTCAGAGTTGAAGTTCTCCCCTCCAGGAAGAACTTTTGGGAGATTAATCAACTAGGGTTCTTACAAGAGGCACAGGACACATGGAGATCAAATTCTGAAGAAAATTTAATGAAGGATGATTTACAGAGGCATGTGCAGGACTTAGGAAATGAATAGGAGGTGCTGAAGTGTTCAGACTAGTAAGTGTGGAAACTAAGAAGCCTTTTCACTCCTAAGACCCCATGAGGTGGAAGCCGGAAGTGGAGAAGGGGCTGCCCTGCTAGGAAGTGAGTCATAGGGATACAGCATTTTCCAGACCGTGATGCCAGAATAGGGAAAGAGCTGAGGGAAAAAACGCAGACTCTGTGTTTGCCACCTTCTAGTCTCTTGCTGACTTAGAAGCAAGAAGGCAAGGTAATCTGGGTGATCAAATCCAAAGAGGTGTCCCAAGAACATGGTGGGAAGAGAACTGTAGAGAACACAGAGAGGTGATGTGCAAAAGAAGGATGAAGAGTATATTAGCCTGTTCTCATGCTGCTGATAAATACATACCCAAGACTGGTAATTTACTAAGGAAAGAGGTATAATTGACTGACGGTTCCACAAAATGGGGAGTCCTCACAATCATGGTGGAAAGTGAAGGAAGAGCAAAGTCACTTCTTACGTGGTGGCAGGCAAAGAGCTTGTACAGCAGAGCTCCCCTTTATAAAACCATCCCATCTTGTGAGACTTACTGACTATCAAGAGAACAGCACAGGGCCAGGCACGGTGGCTCATGCCTGTAATCCCAGCACTTTGGGATGCCAAGGTGGGCGGATAACTTGTGGACAGGAGTTCAAGACCAGCCTGGCCAACATGGCAAAACCCCATCTCTACCGAAAAATGCACAAAGTTAGCTGGACATGGTAGCAGGTACCTGTAGTCCCAGATACTTTGGAGGCTGAGGCCCAAGAATTGCTTGAACCCTGGAGGTGGAGGTTGCAATGAGCCAAGATTGCAGCACTGCATTCCAGCCTTGATAACAGAGCAAGACTCTGTCTCAAAAAAAAAAAAAGAGAGAGAGAGAGAGAACAGTATGGGAAAGACCTACCTCCATGATTCAATTACCTCCCACCAGATTCCTCCCACAACACTTGGGAATTATGGGAGCTATAATTCAAGATGAGATTTGGATAAGGACACAGCCAAACCATATCAATATGCACAGTGGATATGATTAAATGAAAGATAAAATGGCATAAACAATTCGGCCCCCTTCCTGATGTTATCCTGAAGAAATAAGTGATATAGTTTGGATACTTGTCTCCTCAAAATCATATGTTGAAATGTAATTCCAATGTTGGAGGTGGGGCCTGGTGGGAGATATTTGCACCATGAGGGTGGATCCTTCAAGAAAGGCTTGGTATCCTTCCAGCCCTAATGAGTTTATGCAAGATCTGGTTGTTTACAAAGGAGCCTGGCACCTCCCATGCTCTCTTGCTCTCTCTCTCTCTTGTCACTGCTCTCTCCTCGTGATGTGCCTGCTCTCCCTTCACCTTCTGCCATTATAATAAGCTTCCTGAGTCCCTCACCAGGAGCAGATGCTAGTGTCCTGATACCTGTCCAGCTTGCAGAACCATGAACCAATTAAACCTCTTTTCTTTATACATTATCCAGTCTCCGGCATTTCTTGATAGGAACACACAAATGTACTAACACAGAAAATTGGTTCTGAAGAGTAGAACATCGCTACAAAGAAACCCAAAATGTAGACGTGGCTTTGGAACTGGGTAACGGGCAGAGGTTGGAAAAGTTTGGAGGGCTCAAAAGGAGACTGGAACATAAGGGAACGTTTAGGACTTCATGGAGGCTTGTTAAACGATTATGACCAAAATGCTAATGGAAATATGGACAGTGAAAGCTACGCTGATGAGATTTCAGATGGAAATTAAAAAGTTATTGAGAACTAGAGCAAAGGTCTTGGCTGCATTATATCCATGCCTTAGGGATCTGAGGAAGTTTGGACTTAAGAATAATAACTTATGGTATCGGTTGGAAGAAATTTCTAAGCAGCAAAGTGTTCAAGAGGTGGTGTAGCTGCTTCTAACAACCTATGATCAGACATGGAGCAAAAAAATGAAGTTGAAACTTAAGTTATTTAGTGTCATGTTTAAATTTGGCTCAGGCCACTGCAAGCCATAAGCCTTGGCAACTCCCAAGAGGTGTGAAGCCTGTGGCTGAATGAAATGCAAACGTGAAGGAGGCTTAGCAGCCTCCACTTAGGTTTCCAAAGATACGTAGGAAAGCCTGCATGTTCAGACAGAACCTTCTGCAGGAGCAGAGCCCTCACAGAGACCCTCTATTAGGGCAGTGCCAAGAGGAAGTGTGGGGTTGGAGCCCCCACACAGATACCTCACTAGGGCACTGCCTACTGGAACTGTAGGCAGTTCCTTCTCCAGACTCCAGAATGTTAGATCCATCAGCAGATTGCACCCTGCATCCAAAAAAGCTGCAGGCCCTCAACAACAGCCCATGAGAGCAGTCACAGGGGCTGCACCCTGCAAAGCCACAGGGGTAAAGCTACCCAAGTCCTTGGGAGCCCACTCCTTATACCAGTGTACCCTGGATGTGGGACATGGAGTCCAGGATTACTTTGAGATTTAATGTCTGCCATGCTGAATTTTGGACTTGTGTGGGGCCTACTACTCCTTTCTTTTGGCTGATTTCTCCCTCTTGAAATGGGAATGTCTACCCAACACCTGTACCACCATTGTATCTTAGAAGTAAATAATTTGTTTTGGTTTTATAGGTTAATTGGTAGAAGAAATGTACCTTGAGCCTTGGATGAGACTTTGGCCTTTGGACTTTTGAGTGATGCTGGAATGAGTTAAGACTTTTGAGGCCTATTAGAAAGAGATTATTGTATTTATGCAATGTATTTTTACAAATGTTTGCAATGTTTTTGCAATGTTCTTCTCATGAGAAGAAAATGAGATTTTGGGGGATGAGGGATGGAGTAATATAATTTGGTAGCTGTTTTTTCCTCTCCAAATCTTACATTGAAATGTGATTCCCAGCGTTGGAGGTGGGGCTTGGTGGGAGATGTTTGGATTGTGAAGGTGGATCCCTCACAAATGGCTGGGTACCCTCTCTGCCCTAATGAGTTCATGCAAGATCTGGCTGTTTAAAAAGGACACTGGTGGCTGGGCATGGTGGCTCACACCTGTAATCCCAGCACTTTGGGAGGCTGAGGTGGGTGGATCACCAGGTCAGAAGTTCAAGGCCATCCTGGCCAAGATGGTGAAACCCCACCTTTACTAAAAATACAAAAATTAGCTGAGTATAGTGGCAGGATCCTGTAATCCCAGCTATTTGGGAGGCTGAGGCAAAAGAATAGCTTGACCCTGGGAGATGGAGGTTGCAGTGAGCCAAGATCGCACCACTGCACTTCATCCTGGGCAATAGAGTGAGACTCCATCTCAAAAAAAAAAAAGG